TGGGCGAATTTGTCTCATTTCATGACCACCTACGTCGACAAATTTTGAGATTTCCACAAGCACTTTCGAGATGGCACCGATGTATGGCAGATTCTGTGTCAGGGATGCTGCGATATCCAAGGCGACCGCCGCGTAATGGACCGCGCCCTTAGAAGTCTCGATCAGGTTCTTTTTAAACTCCACACCTGCGCATCAGCGTCAGTGTAACTAACATCGACACGATTCAAGTAAATCTTTACGGCTGGGGTTGTTGCCTCTGCCCGAGGGAGGTATCATGGATGCTATCCCGGCTGAGGGGACGGGCAACTGGACCGCGGACGTTGCGACATGGACAGCGGCGATGGGTAAATTTACCGCGCCTTCGGGAGCCCCGACAAGCTTCTCTGTACCTGCGTGATAAGATCAGCATCGGCATAAACATCATAGACTTGTCAGGGCCTTACGCCCAGGGCCTCCTGCGGTAGAATTCGACATCGGAGTAGGAAGAAAGTGGTGGGTAGGTCATGCGTCCAGCCAGCATCGTGGAGCACGTGTAACCGCCGGGCCGATTCTCCGCGCTTTGCGATGATTATCATATACTTACAGCTCTTTGCGGAACAACAACAGTGCCACGTGAAATGTGACTGATGGACCCGGGCGTGTCGCGCGTCGCGACGGGGCTTGCTTCTTGCCAATGTGAAGCAGTAAATGTGATTTTTGGAGGCCAAAGTGTGTCCTGGCTTGAGGGTAAGGTCACAGCATAAGGGGGACTCACTGGTTCTTTGAAGCCATTATTGGCACATGTTCGCAAGGTTCGAGTTGAATTTTTTGTTGACTGTTTTATCTTAATCTGAGGTTGCAGTCCGTTGCGTAGTACACAGGCCTCGGTCATATCAAAGATTTACACAATTCGAGTATACATCACGCTACAGCTGTTCTAAGCCAAATATATGTTCAAATCCATATTCCTGGCCTGTGAAAGCCTCCCACGTTGAATGTGCGCATTCTGAACTAGCCATCCGTTACGTATGGACCGTGCGGTTTAAACGATCCTATTTTTAAGGGAAACGGACCATATTTGAGCCCGGGGCAAGTGAGAAAAACCGTCCGCGCCTGTTGTTCCGCAAAGAGCAGTAAGCTTAAAGCTGGCAAATCTGTTTTTTTAATACATAAGTGGCCATCCAAAAGTCCACCCTTGGAATGGAACCATAACTACAAAACGAAAATCCGTCCCCACGTAAGGGTTTCGAAGGTACACAGGACCGCTTAAATATGCAGATTTCAAGTACATAAATCATGCGCAACAACCACACTTCCAACTGACCCAGAGAGCCTACAAATACCCAGCCTGACGGGTCTAGACCACCCAAATGCCCGAATTTTGTAAAGGGCTCCGCCTGCGGCGGGCCAGGATGCCCGAATTTGAAGTGGCTGTTTGGGCCAATTTGGGCCAATTTTGCCCGAATCTGTAAAGGGATATTGGTCTATTATTCGGGGTCCTGGTAGAGAATGCGGCGGACACGCCCTTTATTGCTAGACTCGTATGCAGCTCCGTTCGAACCCTAACAGTGTCGGTAGCGTCTGGATCGAGGGACTGGTAGGATAGTGGCCGTGCAATGCTCAGAAGTTTCATCGGATGCGACAACGCGCTTGTCATGACGAGGTAAGATTAGTATACATTTGCCAGTATGAGGGCGACGAGGCCAATCGCGGACATAAGAGCCGGGCAGGCGTCGGCGGAAGCTCGCATAATCTCCATCGAGTTGTGGAGGGCGTCAGTGGGGATAGTAGTTTTGGACCGATTCACGTTCGAAAAGTGAGGCCGTGAAGCGGGTGACACTGGAACGAACACGGACTTGTACCGCAGCTTTGAGACCGGGAATGGATACCCTTCGGTTCAAAGGCACCTCCGCAGGTGCGAACAGTGTCCAGGCAGAACAACAGACCTGCATTCCACGACCCGCCTAGATTTCCATCCAGTTATTGTCGAGGATGACTCACGCTGCAAGAAACGCACACCCGGGCTGGCGTGAGTCAAGACGACGATCATAATGGAGAGGTCCGAAGGGCAGTAGCAACTTGGTAGCAACTAATAACCCTGGCACGTCACTGTGAAAGGGCAAAGAAACAAGAACGGTCGCCAACCACGTCAGAACACGGGAACGTCGTCAAGACTTCGAGGGTGCGCTGCGCAATCACCGCATAAGTACAAAAGAGAGCACCATGGGCGGCCAAGTACAAGGTCGTCCCAAACGGGAAGACAATAAAATGTTGTTTGATCGTGTTTGGACGCGACGCCCAAATGCGGCCAAACACACCATTGTCGCTGCCAAAGCGGAAGAATGGACGCCTGGGCGGAGCGCATTGTTGCTGGCACGCAACCGATGTATAAATACCTGGGCGCACGCCAACTGGTGGCAAGACACTCGGTCTCCCCTCTCGTCGCAGTACGCCCACCTTTGTCCGTTCCACGTTCTCTCGTCTCTCCGCGTCTTCAGAAGTCTTCTGCATCCTCGTTCTCCTGCTTTTCTCGACGACTTTTACGCCTGGTATGGCCTTTACTTCATCTAATCAGCCTAGCTAATATCTCATACCAAGTACACACTTTTTTCATCGCCGCGCGATTCATCACCATGTCCTCCGCCATCCCACACGTCACCGTCTTCCTCACGCGACCCCTCCTCGCGCGCTTCCCGCCCGCAGCCGTCACCGCCGCGCAAGTGATCCTCAACGCCGCGCTCGCCGCCCACCCTAGCGCCGTTTTCACGCTCACCGCCGCCGGCACGCCCCCCGCTGCGCTGCACGCCGCGTCGCTCGGCGCAGGCATCCCCTGGGCGCAGTGGTTCGCCGCCCTCGCGGGCGCCGACGCCGACGCCGCGCAGGTGCTGCTCGTCTTCGGCCCCGGGTTCGTCAAGGCGCGCGTCGGCGACGCGCCCGTGGCGGACGTGTGGAGCGAGGACGCGCAGGGCAGTGTCGTGCGCATCTCGCAGGTCGGGCGCGTCCCGCAGGCCGCGGCGCTGGTGGGGCAGCCCACCGGCGGCCGGCTGCGCGCGACGCTCCTCTCTGCCCGCGCACGCAGCATGCGCCACACCCAGAGCCAGGGCCAGGACCAGGCGGCCACGATCCGCCTCCCCAGCCTCCTCGCCGCCGCTTCCGCCCTCGAGCCCACGCCCGCGTCAGACGACAGCGCCTCCGACTCCGACTCGTACTGCTCCGACTCGGACGACTCGGACGCAGCCTCGGCGACGTCGTCCTCGTCCACCGCGTGCTCGCTCACCTCCGTGTCCGAGTCGGCCGACTCCCCGACCAAGATCCTCCCCCGCGCGCTCCCTCCCACTACCACCACCGTTACGAAATACACCCCGCCGCGCCGGCGCCCCCTACCCGTTGTCCCCGCGCCTCCGTCCGCATCCGCACTTTCGTGGCGACGAGCCCCCGCGCGCGCCGCCTCCTGCGCAAAGAAGGACACAACCGCATACCTCTACCAAGGCGGCGTCACGCGCGTCATGACCGGCGGCGTCATGCTCGGGCCCCGCCCTGGCCCCGGCCGGCACCCTGTCCCTGCCGCGGCCCCTGCCCTCCGCGCTTGCGCGCCCTCGGCGTCGGCATAGAATCCGCACGCCCACCAACGATCTTTCTTTATTTCTTTCACGCCCGCACTGAGCTAAACTTACGGCTCCCGGACTCACGATCTGAATTGACTCTGACTCTGCCTATACTTGTGCCTGCGATTGACCTCGCGTGGCACGTCCTGTGGCGCTGTAGCTTTACTTCACCCTTGTAGCCCCGTACTCTATCCAGCTTGTGTAATCATCTGTACTACCACCCTGTCAATACAACGCGGCGACGCTTTGAATAGAAGACTTGTTTTGTGACGTGCTTATTGTACGTCGTCCCAAGGGTGCCGGCCAAGCGCTCGAGGCGGCGACATGAGAACGCATAAGTAGCTTGTGACCTTGCCCCAAGTCAACGTCAGGTGACCATCACCGCCATTTCCTCCTCCAGGTGCTCACTGACTAGATTTTTCCGGCCTGCTGAGTCGGATGTTTGGATTGTACAGCCGAATTATCTATAGGTAGGTAGATAAGGTGGGCTCAAGAAAAAATTTGACACACAGCGGAGACCGAGGGCCCGAATCGAACGGGATGTCCCTTGCTGAAATGCACTTGAGACTCGGAGGGGATTGGCGGACCGCTCCGCCCCCAGGGCTGTGGTGTGTTCTACTTCCTCGCAGGTTAAGTTAAATGTTATCCTCGTTTTATGTTTGTGGGGCACCCGGCGGCGGCAGCTGGAACGCCGTCAACCGACGCCGAAGCAAAAGTTATCTGATCCACATGCCACCACAGCCCGGGTGAAAAGGTCGGCGAAGTGACGGCTCTCCGTAAATTCGCTGGATAGGTACAGCAAATATTCGGGCCTCTGTCATAAGCATGCCATTCTGCATGTCGACCCAGGCATTCGCGCCGCTCGTGGGCGACATTCTTAGTGATCGGGACGTTCGGTTCGGTTCGCGTTCGGGGATGTTTTTCACGAACGCCGAACCTGAACGCGCGTTCGGTTCAGGGTCCCTGTCGAACGTCGAACGCAAGGTTCGAGTTCGGTTCAGGTTCGAACGCGTTCGAACGCGCTCGAACGCCGAAAATCCCACTCAAAAGTGGGTCAAACCCCTTTCCGAACTCATGCCGAACGCGGCGTTCGGTTCGGAACCAAGAACTTGCGAACCTGAACGCCGAACGCGCGTTCGGTTCGGGTTCGGTTCAGGTTCGAGGCGTTCGCCGAACCGGACCCCCCGACCACTAGACATTCTCGAATCAATTACTGGTGAGGCAAAATGGCATCAGTTATAACCTTGAGCTCGAGTACCTGACGTCACATTACTTGACGCTCGTATAACAATGCTAATGATTAATCCAGCTATCGGGCCGGACATAATGTGCCTGAAAGTGAAGGACAGTGTAGAGAAAAAACAGAAGCAAAAGAGTGAGAGAGGAAAAAACTTTTACAGTGACACTATTCGCACAAGCTTTGGGAGGGAATCGAACCCCCGGGGTGTGAGAACTTTACACCAATATGGCTACCATTGCTTCACCAAAGCAACAGTATCAGTGCATCGCTTGGAGTACTTGTAGTCCTTGTTTGTGTGTGACTGCGTGGAGCAAAGAGAGAAAAATGCTGCCGTGCACCTAGCAAGTGATGATATAGACTGATGTAATGTTTTAGTACTTTTACGCTACCCGGCATCTTGAAGGAGCTCAATAGTCATACCAAAAATTATCATGTCCCTGGCATTCTGTTCAAGCTCCCCATTACATTATATTCTATTCTCTCACGCATCTAAGCCAGATGACGAGAGCACACAAGCGATCATATTGAGTGTCAGTTTAGTTCTATATTTGATCTTCTGAACCCCGGCCGTTACACTACATTCTGCGATTAACGGTTTTTGGTGCTCATGCTACGCGCGATACGTCCTGTGGCGCTGTAGCTTTATGTGGCTACCCAGCTCCGAGTCGTTAACGTTTAATTATACTATACCGCTGTCAATACTACACACGGCGACGCTTTGATCAAAAGTGCTTCTTATGCGTCCCAAGGGTGCCGGAAAAGCGCTCGAGACGACATGAGAACGGAACAAATCGCCTTAATTCAAAAGAAAAATTATCGGGCATCCCGGACATCGAAAATTCCGAAATTGATGAACACTTGGTCGTAATGGTACAGTACGTGCGGTGATCTGCGGCGATTCCACGAGGACGGAGCTCCTCGTACATCCCAGGGTACCTCTCATCATGATGCATTGCGGGTTGCCCTGAATTCGAAGCACCGTTCTTTCCTTGTGGAGTATCTTCGGATCAGGGCACAATCGTATCACAGTATGTCGAAGGTCTTCCTGGTGAGTGGCACTCGACTTTGGTCACAGAGCTCGTGTACCCGCCCTGACTTAGGTAGAATATGGACGCTGCGGACGCAGTATCATGACGGTGGAAAGCAAATCTTTTACTGCAATGCTTCCACGAGGACTAAGCTCCTCGTAAATCAATTGTTTCAATCATGTGAAGCTGGGGTTCCCTGAATTCGAAGCCGCCTTCTGTGCCTATCGGAATAGCTTCAGACCCGTGCGCAAGCGTATCGCAGGAAATCGGCGGTCTTGCTGGTGAGTTGCCGTCGACTTGGGTTACACTGTGAGATCGCATCAGGTCCCACCTGGCTGGCTCTAGATGCTCCGGGGGCGGATTCTACCTATGCTACCCATGTTAACTCACACTCTGTATCGAATGTACTTATTCTTGGACCCAAATACAGGTTATTCCTGACCGAAGAACATCTTCCGAATACCTCCATTGATCGACACCTATTCCGACGTGTGAATGCGCCACCAATAACTATCAACTCCTGCTGGTGGGCTAAAAGGCGTAAACCTTGATCGAGATCACTCGATCATCTACGATGCCCCCATCTTCATCCGACAGTAACGTCGTCCTCGATTACACCAGAACAGCCGCCAGCATCCTCGCGGTCGTCTCAGATGCGACAAATGTGCCGCTCCTAAAGGCGGTGTCTGCAGGCACCATGCCTGTCATTTCTATGGTTCAGGTCGGCTCTGCGGTCACCCACGAGGCTGTTTCACTCAATGAGAGCAGGATGTCCGTGCCAATAAAGATCGGTGTCTTCGGATGGTCGACTTGATTCACCAATTGCTCTGCGTGCTGACGTCGCTATGCATGACATTGAGCTCTGTAACGGATCCCAAATTCCTGGATGGTGTTGGTCGTTTTCTTCAGTGAGTATCCGATTCAAGTTGAATAGCGTGGGCTCAATGAGTGCTAGGAACCTGAACAAATTCGATGCTTGCCTTCGCTCACAGCAAGAGTTAGGGAAGATCAGACGGTTGTTCAAACAAAGTGAGATAACTGCGCAACTGGAGGCTTGCGAAGTGGAGATTCAGGGTCTACTGGACTTATTCAGGGTGTGCTACGACCTGGAACACACTTCCAGCTGCTGAAACGTCAATTATAGCTGCACTCTGGCGGAATTCTCACCGCAGCAATAGGGGACCTCAATACTAAAATCGAGCAGCGGCACCAAGAGTTCCTTGAACTTTTAGCCTCAGGACGCAATTCACACTATTCCGACACGGAGTCTATGGTGGGTCATATTTCAGACCGAGTTTGCGCGTGTGCTAACAGGTTATTTGAATTTCCAATTACTTAATTATTAGCAGTGATTTGAGAGGATTTGGGACCCGGTGGCAATTCCTAAAATAATAGTTCAGTAACCTCGTTATTCTCGCCTACTCTAGCATCTGATCCTTCTCCTGCACTCGTATTGCACCCGGAAGGCGCATCGCAACGAATCATTCGCTGTATACGTACCTGGCTTATTAATAGGCGCGCGTTGCCCTTTTAGTACGGACAGGCTGTGTTTCGTTCCCACAACGTCTACAGCTTGTAGGGGCTGTGCACGTGAAAACCAATTTCTCTTCCCAAGTACGGCTTCTGAAGCTCAGATTGACCCCTCACTCTAACATTGGTTGTCTATGGAGCAAGAGAATCCCCCTCTGCGAGATCATGGACCTCCGCCCGCTGCAGCTAGGTGCGGCAAGCGCCTGAACGCCGAGAATGAGCGCTGACAGATTTGCAGTCTTTTGCAGATGTTCCACAGCGCAAGTCGCGTCGGCTTCCACGGATCGCAGCAATTCACCAACGTCCACGGCGATATGAACATATACCCGCCAGCCCCACACTCGGCTTTCGGTGGGCGCTTCCCTTTTCTCGTGCAAGTTCTTCACTGACCCATGACTTCAAGGACAGCAGCCGACTGGAATAACCGGGGTTTGTACCGCGTTTACGTTCCGCCACTCCATCGCTCATCCTGAGTCCCTAGATGGCCGCGGCGATAGAAAATACTCAGGCTGCAGCAGGTGTTATTTACTCGGAGAGCGCAAATTACTGCAGTCATCTGCTACGTCAAGGCCGCGGATTTCCTTTATATATTCCTGGACCGCAGCCGAATCTTCCCAACGAATACCTGCGAAACGGTGTTGCGATTGGCGATGTGGGCAGAGTAACACCAGCGGGAGTGTTCGATTTCTTCTTCAATATATATCTTCACTACATCCTGGGGGCGTGATACATCACTTCCTCTCAGGTGAAATCGGCAACCATGCATCAGAATCTCTCCCTAGAAATGCCCATGATACATCACACGAGAGTACAAACCTTTTAGGGTATATCCCCAAATAGGTTATATCAGCCCACATAAAAAGGTGGCAGCAAGGGGAATTGAACTCAGGGCCTTTGGTAAAGATCACATGACCATAGCAGGGGTGTTATCCAACTGAGCCACAATAGCAATATAAAAGTAGAATTTGATTGGAATATATCCACTACCATCCATCTTACCACACTATCTGGCCCCGCCTTAGGGGCCTTGGTTAGGTTGGTTGGTTAGGGATTCAAGTTAAGGCTTAGAGGTTAGAGAGGTTAGCCAAGGATATTATTTGTCTGCTTGGTTAGGCTGGTTAGGGTTTTTTTAGTTAGGTTGGTTAGGTTTTTTTTACTGGTTAGGTTGGTTAGGGTTCTTTTTGGTTAGGTTGGTCAGGGTATCAACAAAGACCTAGGGCAGGCTTGCCTGCCCTAGGTCTTTGTTGTCCCCAGGTAGGGTAAGGGCACCTTACCCTAGCTGGGGGGTATCTTAGATTATAATTAAGTAATATTAGAGGTGTTATATAATGATAAATAATTCTTTCTTATCAATGCCTAGGTGGTGTAGTTGAATAATGTGTGTGAATACTAATTTGATCTGGGTTATCCAGAGGTCCTGGGTTCAATTCCTGTAGGTGGCATTTGTTTTTATTCCTCTATATTTCTGATATATCATCCCAATAAGGAAAGGAATACACCTGATTGCCGCATCTCTCACGAGAGATCCTGATGCATGGTGGCGGATCTCTCCTGAGAGTAATGTGATGTGGCGAAACCCCACATAGGCCTGATATCTTGATGCAGCTGACCCCATAAATGCGAATTTTGTTCCCGACGACTTCCACCCATTGGCGCGCTACGTTCCAAGAGACGTCTCCCAGGAGTGGACTGCAGGGAGTTATGTTTCCTCCCCTTCTATCCAAGGATGGGGTCCAAACGCCCTCTCTGAGTGTGTTGCAATTCTTCCACCTGTGAAAAAAAGAAAGAGAAAAAACTAATACATCTTGCAGTGAGTTACCCGGGAGCGGATTCCTCTTTAGCTGTAGGGGGCCAAGCGGAGCGCTCTTGGCCCTGCCACATGGCGCATCCCTGGAGAAACTGGAAAATGTAGACGCTGTGCGAAGATATGCCGCCAAAAATGCAGAGAGTTGGTACAGGTACATCAATGAAGTAAGGGGACGTGGACTAGCCAACGGCTCTCTATACCTCATCACTGGCTGCGAAAAATCTTGGTCTGGGGGCATGGCATCGTTTCAAAACGTCGCACTAGGAGCCAAATTCCAGCTCTCGTTCCGGCCCCCCGTGGACACAGATAACGGTTACAACTATCGTTTTCAAACAGGAACCCCAGCTCGCACTCACTGTTTTGAAAGTCGCTCATTCCGTGACGGCGAACAGCCTCCATTCAACCAGACCACCTTTCTTCACGGATTCAGCATCTCCCTCGGCGAAGAAATATGGAGAAGACTTGTTGGAGATGCAGTCTCCGAAATTCAACCGTTACGATTGCCAAACTCTCAAAGATCCTTTATTCCATCTATGGCCTCCTTTTTCTCTTGGCCGCTTAGCTTATTTGGTGGGACTGGCGAGGAAGAGATCAAGATATCCCCTACTTCCGAGGTCAGGGCCCACTGAGAAAATGTAACAAGAGGACTAAATGGTTTTAGACGGTGCACCCGGCTCGAGCAATCAACAGCTTTCTTCTTTTCGAGGTATCTGTTCGTCTTAAATGCTTCAAATCTGCCCTAAATCCAGTCCTGCCCATTTCAGCGTCCGGAGGCAACAGTTGTAATAACGCATGACGACGACTGGAGGGATATTCTTCGCGACGTATGCCTCTTCTTTCGTCATGCTTTTCTATTCGTTAATCTTGTTGGCCCAGGATGGCACG